TTCTCAGTCTCTTCACCATCCATTATGATGCTGCCAATCAGCCCAGTTTTAGATAGCATAAAAAAACTTTGGTGGTGATGTGGATATGACATTACACTGCTAACCAAAAGGTTGGAAGTTTGAACCCACCAGCTACCCAATGGAAGAAAAAAATTAAGGAGTCTGTGTCCAAAATTGTTTTCTACCTTGCAAACTCTAAGAAGCAGTCCTATCTTGTCACACACTGTAGAGAGGAGACAAAGATCCCAATCTGCATCATGGCTTCCTTTGTCTCAATTGAAAACAAGATCTCACTTTTACAGAATTATTTTACATAATTTCAATTTTTAGCAATAAAGAGTGCTCCTTAAAGGCAATTCTTTGGGCATGCTGTCAGATGGGGCCAGTTTTTTTTAAAAAAGAACATCATGCTTAGAAAGGTGGAAGGTCAGAGAAAAGGAGAAAGACTCTCAAAGAGGCAGACTAATGCAGTGGCTACAACAGTGAGCAGAAGACTGTGAAGATGCTGCAGGACCAGGCAAGGTTTTGACCTGTTGCATATATAACACCTACCAGCAGCAAAGTAATGCGTTAGCAAGCAGTAATCTGAATAATTTTATTTCTTTTATTCCCTGTGTTGACTAATAACTTTACCTAGATACTGGGAGCTAACATCTGACACAAAGTACTACCATTATCCTTCTACTCTTAAGTACATGTTGAATATTTGATTTTATAGCTAGTAATATGTAGCACTGTTGTTTCTGAGTGCTGTGGAGCTGAAACCAACTCACAGCTGACCCTCCAGTGGGTTTTCAGAGGCAGTAAATCGCTTGGCAGGAGACTGCTCATCTTTCTCCCACAGAGCACTGGTAGATTTAAACTGTGTGCCTTTGGATTGGCAGCACAGCTCCTTACCACTAAGCCACTAGAGCTCGCCTATTAGTTGTTGTTATGTGCCATTGAGTCACCTGCGACTCATAGTGACTCTATGTTCAACAGCCCTAAACTCTGCCCTATCCTGTGCCAATCTTATTGTCTCTGACACACCTAATTCCATTACCCCAGTCACTGAATCAATCCATCTCATCCAAGGTCTTTCCTGCCTGTGCTGTCCCTCCACTCTCCCAAGCATGACGTTCCTCTCCAAGGACTGGTCCCTTCTTGCAGCATGTCCAAAGTATGTCAGACGAAGCTTCAGAATCTTTGCCTCCAAGGAGCAGCCTGATTCCACTCTCTCCAAAACAAACCTGTTTGTTCTCCTAGCAGTCCATGGTATATTGAATACTCCAACACCACAGCTCAAAGGCATACACTCTCCTTCTATCTCAGCTCTCTGGTGCATATCAAGTGATTACAAAGATCGTGGCCTGTATCAGGCACACTTTAGTTTCCAGACTGACGTCGTTGCTTTTCAGTACTTTGGAGAGGTCTCTGACAGCAGATTTTTCTAATGTAATTAATCTTTTACTTTTCTGGCTGCTGGTACCAAGAGTGTTGATTGTAGAGCCAAGAAAACTGAAGCTGTTAAGAACCTCAATCTCTTCACTACCTATCATGATGCTGCCTATCAGCCCAGTGGTGAGAATCTTTGTTTTCTTGATTTTGAGTTTCAATCCATATTGATGGCTGTGGACCTTGACCTTCTGCAGCAAGCGCTTCTGGTCCTCCTCAGTTTCAGCAAGCAGGGTTGTGTCACCTGCACAACGCAGATTGTTGATAAGTCTAACTCCAATTCTGATGCCACATTTCTCCTCATAGAGCTCAGCCTCCCGGCTAATCTGTTCCACATATAGATTGAATAGATATGGAGATAGGACACATTATTGACGCACACCCTTCCCAATTTTGAACCGTGCAGTGTTTCCTTGCTCTGTTCTGACAACTGCCTCCTGGTCCAAGTATAGGTTTCCCAATCAAGTGTTCTGGGATTCCCATTCTCCTCAAGGTCAATCACAATTTGTCATGATCCACACAGTCAAATGTCTTTGCATAGTCAATGAAACACAGATAGACCTTCCTCTGGTACTCTTTCTTTCTGCCAATATCCATCTGAAATTGAAGATCGTTTCTCTAATGTCATGGCCTCTTCTAAATCCAGCTTGTATTTCTGGAAGTTCTTTGTCAATGTATGTTCCATTCAGTTTTGGAAAATCTTCAGCAGGATTTTACTTGTGTTTAATGAATGATACGGTACAATAATTTCCACACTCTGTTGGGTCACCTTGTTTTGGAATGGGAATCAATATGGATATCTTCCAGTCAGTTGGCCAGGTCCTCCTGATTTCTTGGCACGTCCAGTGCAGCATCTTTTGTTGAAATATGTAAATGGCTATTCCATCAATTCCTGGGGCTTTTATTTTTTTGCCAAGTCTTTCAGAGCAGCATGCACTTCCTCCTTCATCACCATTGTCTCTTTAAAATATGTTGTTTCTTGACATTCTTCTGTGTCAGCCAAATTCTTTTCCTACAGTGACTGTACAATCCTTTAGTTTTCTTTTACTGCTTTCTCGATCATTTACTATTCTGCTGTAAGCATCCTTAAGTATTGCAACTAGTGGTCTGATTTGTTCTGTAGTTCTTTCAGCCTAAGAAATGCTGAGCGAGCTTGGCCCTTTGACTCTAACACAGGAGAAAACAATGTTAAGATGAAGGATATGTACTAAATGTGTTGAAGAAATACATGTTTGATGATTCTACTAGTGCAAAGAATGAGAAATCTAGGCTGGTAGACAAGAAAATGTATTGCCTTTTAATATATCTTTAAAAATAGTAACTAATTTACTAACCCATCACTGAAATCTAATTATACTCCATCTTTAGGCAAATTCTAGAAAATATACTCGCATCAATTTTTACCTTAAATCTATAGAAAAGTTGAGAGAATAGTAAAAACCAGACACTTGAGTACTGTTTACCTAGATTCACTCAGCGTTAACATTTTACCACAAATTTCTCTCTCTTCATTAATGATTTTGACTAAAACACTTAGATGTAAACAATAAAAGTGTTGTCAGGTGCTCTTGAATTGACTACAAACCATAGCAACCCTATGAACAAGAGATTGAAACCCTGCCCTGTCCTTTGCCATCGTTACAATCTCTGCGGTGCCCAAGCTCATTGTTCTAGGCACCGTGTCAATCCATCATCTCCTTGAGGGTCTTCCTCTCTTTTGCTGACCTTTGACTTTTCTGAGCATAAGGTCTGACAACATGCCCAAAGTATGAGAGACCAGTCCATCATTCTTGTCTCCAAGGAACACGCCGGTCACACTACTTTCATCAAGCTAGATTTGTTTGTTCTTTTGGCAGTCCCCGGTTTATGCAATACTCCTCACTGTGACACTTTAATCTAGTGTGCATCTTGTAAGAATAAGGGTAATTTTCAGTATCATGGAATTCCTTTATATCATTTAAGAGATCACTCATTCGCTGTTGTTGAGTCAGTTCCAATTCAAAGAGACTCTTCACTGGATTTCTGAGACTGTAAATTACAACGGGAAGGGGCTGCCCATCTTTATACCACAGAGCCGTCTGTGGACTTGAACTGCTGGAGACTCAGAGTCTTTGAGTTATCAATGCAATTCACTATGGACTACACTACTAGAGTTCCCTATTCGATATATAAATTTAGCTCATTGCCATCACGTCAGAACCAACTATAGCTGACCCACCAGTGACGCTGTAGATTACATAGGATTAGGTTGTTCATCCATCTTTCTTCTGAGGAGCTACTGGTGAATTTGGGTGAACAAAGTAGCTTCCTATAGACTATGCTCTTTATTTAATATATGTTGTTGTGTATCATTGAGTTGGACTTGACCCACAGTTCTAGCAAGTTTTCAGAGGCAGCTCTAGCAAGTTTTCAGAGGCAGTTACTGGAATGTGAGGAGACTGCCTTTCCTTCTCCAAAGGAGCAGGTGCTGGATTTGAAGACTGTGCCTTCTGGATTGCAGCACAGCTTCTTAAAACTAGGTCACCAGAAGCTGTGCTGCAATCCCTAAGGCTTAATATATAGTGCATATTAAATTTCTCAAGGTCTTCTAAGTAGTATTTTTGTTGTTGTTTTACATGATAGATTTGAGTGCTTTATCTCTTTACATCTATGACAAAAAGCAGAAGTTCCTTTTATGCTTTTTTAAATTTTCCATGACATTTTAAAGCATCTAACTGTATAATATTTCATATAGAATGTCTGATTATATTATTAAATTCAGGTTAAACAGTTTTAGAAACAATAACATATGACACTGTATATCACATCAGACCAGAGGGCATACAGTGCAAAATTCTCTAATAGTGATGTTAAGTTTTATCACATAATTAAAGCACATACCAGACAGTTCTCGTATAAAGGTATATTTCTTTTTTTGTCACCAGTAGATAATCCATGGGTTTTTACTTTTGAGACAAGTAAATATTCTGTCTCTCAACAATTTTTCAATGGCGCTAGTCATTTATGACCTCTGTCTGAATCAGTTACTAAGCTGGAGCTGCATAATAGAATTTTCTTGTTGAATCATACACATAAAATGGGTGGATTTTATGGAATGTAAATTAGATCTCAATAAAACTTTTAAAAAAACCCTATTCAGTCTGGTCCCATTTTATGCTAGATTATTTTTTTCTGCCAATAAATGACTGACAGCAGAAATATTTTCTAAATTAGATAGAGTTTTCAAGGTGAGAGCAAACTTTAGGAAGTGTTCTGTTGAGGTTTTAAAAAATGGTGGTTTTCTATCGTTCCATCTACAGTCATAGTTGACATATCTCTCTAAAGACTTTCTCTGTACTTCCTTATGCTCTCTATATATCTCAAACTTCACTGTAGACTCATGTGAAGATTTTTCCCTTCCACTCAATATATTATAATCCTTTGTTGTCATTTTTATTATCATTATTTGATCCTCAAACCATCCTAATTTGTCCAGTGTGAGATCTCTCAAGAATAGCCTTGTGTCCTGATATGGCCTCAGCACTTGTGAATAATCCTGTCTTCTGGCACAGAAGTTTCAAGTTTACCTATTCCTTTCCCTGCATAAGATCGGAGATAAAATATTTCTCTAAGAAGTCTTGGTTCTTTTTAGAGGTATGGTATTTAGAAAGCGAGAGCTGGGTGCTGGATGTGCTTATTCCTACTGGGGTGGCTGCCACTGTTTCAGAACAAGGAAACAGGAATTTATATGAATATTCTAATTTATACTAAAAATATAAAAGAATATTTTTAGTGAACATCTTGGTTTCTATTATAACATGAGTATTAATATAGTTATTAACTTATTTTATCCTACTATAAGTGGCATCCATTTCCTAAACAACATGCCTCTGGAAACTCAATGAACTTCGATAGTAATAGAAAGGCTTCAGGCCTTTTGTTCATAGGGTTGCTATGAGGTGTGCTCAACTCGAAGGCAATCAACAACAACATATAAAAATAGTAGGAATACTGCTATTATAATTCTGAAAATAACAATAAATTAAGAAAGCCTAAGATTTCTTTGCAGTTTTCTTATCCTTAGGACACATCTTAGCAAGGAAGTACTGACAAAACCACAATGTTCCCAAGCTGTATGAAGTGCATGATTATATTTGCTAAACAGGTTTATTTGATTTTAGTTTGTGTTCGATTTTGGAATTTCTTTTTCCTCCTCATCTTCCTTTGGGCTTAGTTCTAACTTTTGCATATATGAAACATTTTCATGGTCCAAAACTTAAAAAACTATATAAAAGGTATATTTAAAGAAGTCTTGCTTCTTTCACCTCATTCCTATGAATCCTCTTTGTTTTCATTAGGTTCTACTTTATCCTTCCTGTGCTTCTTTTAAGGAGTCCTGATGACATACTGTGTCATGTGTTTTACTGCAAACTCAAAGGTTATAAGTTCAAATCCACTCGGTGCTCCTTGGTAAGAAGATAGGTAGTTTCCTCCCATAAAGATTGATACCCTTGGAAACATGATGGAGGGTCCTTATGAGTCATTCTTCAGAACAAATGTAGACATACCAGGAGGTGAACAAAACCTCTAACTAATCTGGTTCTTATTTGTGATTGTAATCATGAAGCATAGAACTTGACTTATAGCACATTTCCTACTTGTAATACCTATAGCTTGGTACACAAGCAAACTCCCACCTGAATTATGATCAATCCGATGCAGAGAATCCATGTGAGCATTCAGAATTTTGCAGACCTGCTGGAGCTAAAAACATACACAAGACCTTTATTTTTTATTGGATGTGGTAATCAAACAACAAAAAGAAATGAAAATTCTGGTTAAAAATGGATGGAAATTGTATGAAATATTCATGTGTTTTTTAAATTTTGCCATTTCCACATATTGTTTCAGTATAATTAGTATCAAATTGCTAGGAATTAAATTCCTACAATTCAATAAGAAACTCACTACTAAAGCATAGAAATAAAGGACATTAAAAGACACATAACAAAAAAATAGTACTATTAAATACATTACTTTTTGAAAACTAAACTAGTTCTTAAAATGGTAATACTTAGTTGTCAAATGTGTCAAGATATTAATTTTAATAATATATACTAAAAGTCTTAATGGGCTTTGGTGGCCTAGTGGTAAGAAGATGTGCTGCAATCCCAAAGGCAAGTGGTTTGAATCTACCAGTTGCTCGCTGGGAGAATGATGGGTAATCTCCTCCCATGTGATGTACTGTCTCTGAAAACCTGCTGGAGGGTCAGCTATGTGTTGGTTCATACTCAACAGTACATAACAAAAGAGACCTAACAGGCATTCATAACTTTTGACTCAATATATTCTACTTGTAGGAACCTATAGAGCATATAACAAAATCCAAACATAAACAGTCATTGCAGTGGTATTTTTATAATAGCAAAAAATTGGAAACAATAGTCTCTACTATTAAAAATTTTTCAAAAATGAGGGTAAAGTGATTTCCAATGAAATACAGTCATTAAAACGCATGTTTTCAAAGAATGGTTAGAAAGTTGAGAAAAGACCATGCAAGAATGTTAAATAAAGATAGAAAATAAAACTCTGTATGGGTATATGGGTTACTAATGCTATTTTAAAAACAATAAGTTTATAAACATAGCAAAAATACTAGGAGGAATTACATCAATATATTAATACCACCACCACTCATTGCCATTGAGTTTGTTCCAACTCATAGCAGGTTTCTGAGGCTGTAAATCTTTACAGGAGGAGATTCTTCCTCTTTGTCTGATGAAGTGGCTAGTGGATTTGAACTGGAAAAACCACAATAGGATTAGGAGCCCTATATATTACCACTAAGTTACCAGGACTCCGTATATTAGCAAGGAAATAGTAATACAGATGTTTGAATTTTCTTTACAGATGCCTGAATTTTCAGAATTGTCTATACTGAATAGGTGTTTGTGGTAAATAAAATACTAAGTGTTAAAAAGTTTTACAACATTTTGAACAAATAACCTAACAAAGTCCAGGATAGTTTGAACAGAAGAGAATGATAATGTTAACATACTTAGTAGAATGGTGAGTAATTAGAGAATGCAATAAATTTAGGTATTTTAGAATAACAAAGAGAAACACAATTTATGGTAGGAACAATATGTTTGTTAGAAATTTGAGTGACTATCTTAACATGTATTTGCTTAATAAAAACTTAAATAAAAATGTTCAATATTAGGTAGTTTCTCCTCTTCCCAACTCTAAAAAAGAAGGGGCCAAAATGGGTAAATCCCATTACAATGAAAACTGGTATAAACAGCTGCTATTTTTCTGGCCTAGGATATGTTCCACAGTAAGGAATCTCTGTTGATCTAGTTCAATAAATTTTCTACAAAAATATTATTGTTCAGCAGATGCTTTCTGATTCCTTTTCAATAATTTATGCTGAAAATAGAGCTGAGTTGTAGAAGATGTCTTTTGTCCTGCCACCAAGCAGCAATTAGTCTTTAATTCTCTCATCTCAAACAGCCCAATCACCCTTGCCAAGGAAAACATAGCCAAAAATATTCCAACTATTCACTATTGAAAGATACTAAAACAATCCAGGACTAAATGGAGAAAAATGGTATGGAAAGGATTAAAGTCTCATTTTACTATGTGCAGCACATTTTATTATTTTAATTATCAGCTTCACGTGTAATCCTACATATGCCTATTTATGTATCAAAACTCCATTACAAGAGGATAATTCTGAATTTTGGAATCACAATGTTGTGGTGATTAGGTGCCTTGGAGTCGGTTCTGACTCACAGAAACTCCATGTGATAGAGTAGAATTGCCCCATATGGTTTTCTTGCCTGTGATTTTAATGAAATTAGGTCACCAGGTCTTTTGCCATGGAGTAACTGTCAAGCTTTCAATTATCAGCTAAGTGTTTAACTCTTGTACCACCAAGGCTCCTTTGAAATCACAACAGTGATATAACATTTTATTAAAAAGAAAATATCTGATTTATCAACTCTTGATGAAATCAGGAAACAAAGGAAGATGGTGATATAGGTAATCCCAAATGAATTCATATTTGGATTTGTTCTGTATGTCATGCTGTTTCTTTAGAATTATAAAAGTTGGTAACAGATACACAGATGAAGAATAGTTTGTATAATTGGACTAGGATTTTCACTAAGAAATAGGAATTTATGTTCCTATCCAATTATCACCAACTAACAGAAAGTACAAATTCAAAAACAAACGCAAGTAGTCCCTAAAAAATTAACACTCAGGAATATTTTTTAAGGATAACTGGCTGCCACAATGGGAGATTCCATTTAGCTGTTAAGACAATAGGAAGGCAGAGGAGAATTGCTTTTAATTATACTAGAGAGAAAAAAAATAGAAAAATATATTTTAAGTCTCAAATTGCCTACTAAACTTTTTAGCTATAACCTATTTATAAATTAAGAATTGCCAGAATATTCCTAAAAAACTCATACATTTATTTAAGAATGTAGATAAATGTGTAAAAGTAAGAATGAACTTGATTTGCATGTGGGTATCTAGCTGTCTTAGGTGGGTAGGTGTTGAAAATGGTTTGTACTTTACTAACTTAAAGCTTGGTGGTTCCAAATCACTCAGCAGTGCCACCGAAAACAGGTCTATTTATGAAAAGATTACAGACAAGAAAATCCTATGGAGCTATTCTAGTCTGTAATGCACGGGATAATCATGAGTTGAACTAGTCTAATAGCAATGTAGTCGTTCAAATCAGCCAGTGGCACTGCAGAAGAAAGGCCTGGATATCTGCTTTTCATACAGAGTACAGCCAAGAAAACCCAACAGAGGACTTCTTAGCACATAGGGTCACCCCTGTATGTCAGAATTTACTCTGGCAACAGGTTTGGTTTTGGTTAAGTACAGGGACATATTTGAGAATGTAAAAACCAGGAAGCTTAAGAGGGAAGTTTTGGGAGGCAAGAGTAATATTTTATCCTCTTAGGAATAACCACAAACACACAAAAATTTACAACCTTTTCTGCCTCTAAATATTTCTTACCCCACTAAACCTACCCAAGGTCTTTACACCTCTAGTGGCAGGTAAAGAACCCAGGAGCACTAATTTAATATTAAATTTCTGTTTTCTAAATACATAAGATTGTTGTTGTACACTTTCAAGTCAGAACTGACCCGTAGCTGAGCCTCCTGTTGGTTCAGAGGTAGTAAATCACAAGAGAGCAGATTGCCCAGCCTTCTCCAGGGAGCAGCTGGTAGATTCAAACTGCATGCTTTAGGGATTGCAGCACAGCTTCTTACCACTAGAATAGGACAGGTTTCAGATCTCTTGTTCATAGGGTCGCTATGAGCAGTACTTGACTTGAAAGCACCTAACAACAACAACAACAACAACAACAACAACAACAAATATATAAAGCAGTAAACTCACCGGGTCAGTATTATCAGCAGGACTTTGAAATGTGTTCAAATGCTCAATAATGTCCTTGAGATCCTGGGCCATTTGTTTCAACTGAGTATCTATATTTTCTGCTAATTTGTAACTGAAAGGGCAGGGAAAACGAAGATTAACAAGAAATGGGTTTTCCCCCTATATAGTAAAAAAAAAATGGTTTTCACATATTGCTACTGGTATTCAAGGAGGACACTGCCAACTGGATTTGTCCGAAATCTAATTTCTTTTTGGGTCTGAAGAGGGATGATGCACAATTTTGTAGATCAAGTATTTGTGACCCTATTATTACCATAATATAAAATTATTCCACAGGTGAAGGGTTTTATCTATCTTGTCACTTTTACAAACATCTATTTACTCAGTGGTTAATGTTCTAAGGAATTCTGAAGCAAAAGACCAAAATAAACCCACAGGATGCTAAAATGTGTAAGAAAAGTCACTTGACGTTTAACAGTATTCATTAAGAGATCTTCAATGAATTTGACTACACACATATTCAAGGTAAATTCTCATATAAATATACTCCACCTTTCAACAAAAGACATTCTGAAAAAGAACCTTCACAATAAAGGTAGACAAATCTATTAGGTTCAGAAAGGTTGCAGAAAATTCTCAAGATTTTTATTCAAACTTTCCTTCTATCATTCCTTACTATTTACACACACACACACAACCTTAATATTTATGAAAATTAAAGTTATTAGAAGCTTTCTGAACAGTAATATCCATAAAGATTTCAATATACAATTAGATTTACTAATAACTATTAACTGCCTTTCTATTCTAAAAAACTTAGAACCAGTTACCTAAATGGTGAAAATTCCAATATAATATACATATGACTACAAAAGAGTGAATGGAAAGGAAGTAATGTCTCAAAGATTTCTTCAAACTCCAGAAAGATGCTCATTGCTAACACTGTGACTCCATATGGCTCAGAGAAAAAAGATGCATACACAGAAAATAAAGGAAGAAAAGAAAGATTCAGAAAGGCTAAAATACACAGAAGCAGAAACAGAACTACAATTAGTAAAGGTTAGCCATACTTTTCACATTTAATATCCCTACAAAAAATACAGTCTTAACTCATGACATGAACTATTGATAGAGTAGGTCTGGGTTAGGGTCAATCTTGTTTAGGTCTGTAGCATATTACACTGCTAAACAGTGTCTCTGGCAGTTCATATTCACCAGTGGTTCTATGGGAAAAAGATGGACAGTATCTTCCCATTAAGATCATTAAGTAAAGAAGTACATGTTTTATTCCATGCCTTCCAATTCAATTTTTTTCTTTTTCAGTACTGTCATAGGAACTAAGTCTCATCCATCTTGTTTCAGTTACTCACGTCCTATCCCGCTCCTCATCTGCATATTGCAGATAGGCAGGCTCACTCTGATCTTTCACAGACTCCTCTAATGGGATCAACAAATCTTCTAGTTCATTCTGTTGTGACAGGATAAAATCCAATTCTTGTTCCAACCTGAATAAACCAAGTCACCAGAAGAACTGATGAAAGAAACTTGAGAGTGACAAAATGAGTGTCAATAAACTACAGCAAAGGTTGGGGTGAGGTGGAGAATGAACAGAGTTTGCTAATCTTTCATCCTAAAAAATAATTTCTACCTTTTCTGTTCCTTTTTCATTTTCTCCACTTCTCCATGTAAAGTAATAATCTACAGAGAAGAAGAAAAACATAGTAATAAAAATCTGTAAAATATCATTATTTTGGAACAGCATAAATTCTGTTAAATATGCTTCAAATATGAAAGATTCTCCAGTACGAGGCACTTAATATCCTAGTAAAATAGTTTTAAGGTTGCTAACCAGAACTGGAATTTCAAAAACCCCACCAAACCTCATTCAAACACTAATAAAAACAACAATGGCGACACTGAAGTTCAACAAGACAGTAAACAACAAATGCTGGTGAGGATGTAGAGAGACTGGATGTCACATACACGGCTAGGGGGAATGTAAAATGGTGAAACCACTATGGAAAGCAGTTTGGCACTCCCTTAAGAAGTTGGAAATGTAAATAGCATTTGATCTAGAAATTTCACTTCTAGGCATATATCCCAAAGATATAAGAGCTGTGTCATGAACTGATACATGCACATGCATATTCACATAATATGACAGCAATAAGAGGAAAATAACCCAAGTGTACATCAATGGATGAACTGATAAAAGAATTTTGGTACATTCACACTACCTGGGATGTGCTTACCAGGCTATGCCAAGAAAGCTGGAAGCCTAGGCCAACTGACTAGAAAAGAGCCATATTCATTTCCATTAAAAAAAATCTGATCCCATAGAATGTTGGAAATTAACAAATTATATTAGTAATAACACATACTGGTAAAATCTTGCTGAAGATTATTTAAAAACAGCTAGAACAGTACATCAACAGAGAATTGCCAGAAATTCAAGCTGGATTTAGAGGAGGTAGTGCCACTAGAAATATCAGTGCTGATGTCAGATACATCTTGGCTGAAAGCAGAGAATACCAGAAGGATATCTATGTTTTACTGAATGTGTAAAGGTATTTGTGTGGATTGCTAATCTTGAGACAAATGGGAATCCCAGAACACTTATTGTGCTCATGTGAAACATACACCTAGACCAAGAGGCAGTTGTGTGAACAGAAAAAGGAAGCACTGCATGGTTTAAAATCAAGAAAGATACGCATCAGGGCTATATCCTTTCTCCATACCTATTTAATCTGTATGCCGAACAAATCATTTGAGAAGCTGGACTTTATGAAGAGGAATGTGGCAATAGGGTTGGAGGAAGACTCATCAATAACTTGTGTTATGCAGATGACACAACCTTGCTTGCTGAAAGTAAAGTGACTTGATTACATCTCAACATCAAGAAAACAAAAAGTGGGCCAATAAGCAACATCATGATAGGAAGACAAAACATAAATTGTTAATAATTTCACCCTACTTGAATCCACAATCAACACATAGCAGTTGAGAAATCAAGACATGTTGCATTTGGGAAATATGCTGTCAAGAACCTCTCCAAAGTGCTGAAGACCAATGATGTCAGTTTGAAGGTTAAGCTGTATCTAATCCAAGCCATGGTCTTTTCAATTATTTGCTATGCATGTGAATGCTGGACAGTGAATAAGGATGACAAAGAATTGATGCCTTTGCGTTATACTGGAGAAGAATACTGAATATACCACAAACTGCCAAAAGAACAAATATGTCTTGGAGAAAGTATAACCAGGGTGGTCCTTGTAAAGCAAGGATGGGGAAACTTTGTCTCACATACTTTGGGAATATAGTTAAGAAGGGCCAGTTTTTGAGAAAGGATGATGGAGAGTTAGTGTAAGAGAGGAAGACCCTCAACAAGATGGATTGAAATAGTCACTGTAACAATGGACTCCAGTATATGAGATATCATGAGAATAGCACAGGATAGGGTTGAGTTCATATCTGCTGTTCATAAGGTCGTTATGAGTCATAGGAGACTCAAGAGGACATAACAACAGCAAGGATGAATCAAGAGGGCATTATGCTGAGTGACATAATCAGTGACAAAAGGGCAATTATTGTATTTTTAAAAGCTAAGGAAAGGATTCAAAAGCTAAGGAAAGGTTTGCAAATAAAATCATTCCTGGATAGTTATCAGGTATAAGAAAGGAGAGAGTGGGGACCAAAAATCAGTAGATAGATAACAGGTACCTATTAAGATGGGTAAAGGGAAAATCAATATTTAATAAAGAGATGATTAGCACAGTATCACTAAGGAAAGGTATAAAGAGTACAGAGAGGTATAGAAGGACTAAAGGAAATCAGAATTACAAAGAGGAAACAGGAAAGGTACAATTACATTGTGGGCAATGAACTTAATATTACATATAAAAATGTGTATAAACAACTTGAATCTAAAAGAAATTTGCTTTGGAAACCTTCATACAAATCACAATATAAATAAATAAGATCAGTATAAAATAAAAAAAATTTAAAAAAGAAATTGCCATTCAACATATATCTATTTGTGTTCATCTAAAAATACTTGTACATTATGTTGAGTGAAATAGCTCAGCCAGAAAAAGACAAATACTACAGAAAAAGACTAATATTTTATAACGACTGTTATAAAATAAGACTGACATGGGGGGTTAGATGGAGAATAGGAAATGAGTGGACAGATAATGAACACAGCAACAGAACAGATGAGGCATTGTATATGGTAACAGTCTGGAACAAGAGGTTAAGTACATTGCAAAGTGGACTGGGGGAGTGGAAAGGGAAGTGGAGGGAGGAAAATGTGCAACAATGAATGAATGAAAACCCAATCTTTCTGTAAACTTTCATCAAAATCACAATTGTTTTGTGCCATAGAGTCAGAATTGACCCATAGCTGTCCTCTGGTGGGTTTTCAGAGGCAGTGAATTGCACAGGAGGAGATTGCCCATCCTTCTCCCACAGAGCAGCTGGTGGCCTTGAACCACACAATAAAAAGTAAAAAAAAACCAACAAACAACTACCTTGTACAACGCAGGTAGAATACAGAGACTATCTTCTCACCTTCTCACCATTCTCAAGCAATGTACGGTCCCATGCATTCACCTGTGTAGCCTGGTGAAGAAAATATTTCTCATGATCCTCCAGGTCAAGGCTCCACTTGTCTATCAGACCATCCAACATACCATATGTCATCTTAGGAGTTAAAAGTGAACTAAAAAAGAAAAGGGTACAGAGAACTGTGTGACTACACAGTGGGATCTGGAGAAGAAAAATGCATGTAAGAAATATTTCAGACCTTCTCCTCAACAAAATTACTATAAATAGTGAAAAAATTGCTCAAAAGAACTTATGAAATCTTGAAACAAAAGTCCGTGTCATTTGAGCCACAACTGTATGCTCCTTTGCTCACACCACCGGCCACCTTAACTCAGTGTATATCAAGATAATGTAAAAAATCATAAAGACGATTAGTGGAGCTTAACAGTTGATTGTTTACTACTCGCCTGTCAGTTTGCCCTATTATGGTGGCTTCTGTAGTGTTATAATACTGGAATTCATGCCACCAGTGCTCTGGTGGCCTAGTGGCAAGAAGCTGCACTGTAATCCTGAAGGCACCAGGTTCTAGTCCACCAGTCGCTTCATGGGAGGATGAGCACTCTTCCCCCATGTGATTTATTGCCTCTGGAAACCTGCTTGAGGGTCCGCTATGGGTCAGTGCTGATTCAATGGTAAACAACAACAACAACAACAACAGTATTATAAATACCAGCAGGGTCACTCATGGTACATAGATTTCAAGGGTGCTTCTAGATCAAAAGCAGGACTGGATAGCTATTTCAGAAATAATGGGCCTCCAAATAGCCAATGAATAGCTGTGTAATCTTGTTTGATACAATGTTGGAAAATGTTGGGAGGCACTCAATACAGGAAGAGGTGCCTCCTCAAAGCAGAGTCTGCTTTAATGATATGGATGGTGTAAAGCTTTCACCAAATGAAGGGCTATCATTTGCTGATATGTTGTTTTTGTTGTTGTTATGTAATGCCAAGTTAACTTCACCTTATAGTGAGCCTATGTACAATATCTCTGAACCCTGATCTATCCTGAGCCAGTCACTGAGCCAATCCATCTCATCGAGGGTCTTCCTCTCTTGTGCTGTCCCTCCACCCACCCAAGCATGACATCCTTCTCCAAGGACTGGTCCCTCCTTACAACATGGCCAAAATATGTCAGACAAAGCTTCAGAATCCTTGCCTCCAAGGAGCAGCTCTCCAGAACAAACCTGTTTGTTCTCCTAGCAGTCCATGGCATTGTCATCCTTATTTATTGTCAAGCTCTCAGATGCACAGCAAGTGACTGAAAAGACCATGGTCTGAATAAGGTCCACTATATTCTTCAAACTCACATCACTCCTCCGCAGTAATTTGGAGAGGTCCCTGACAGGAGACTTTCTCAGTGGAATGTGTCTCCTGATATCCTGACTGCTGATACCACGTGTATTGATTGTGGATCCAAGTAAGGTGAAGTTGTTGATAATTTCAATCTTTTCTCCATCTATCATTATGTTGTCTATTGGTCCAGTGGTAAGAAGTTTTTTCCTTAATGCTGAGATGCAATCCATATTTAAGGTGTTTGATCATCTGCAGCAGCATCTGAAGTTCTCCCCACTTTCAGCAGGCAAAGCTGTTTTATCTGTTTACCAAAATATACTGATGAGTCTTCCTCTAATCTTGATGTTACATTCTTCTTCACAGAGTCCAGTTTCTCAAATAATTTGCTCAGTATACAGATTAATATTATGAAGAAAAGATACAACCCTAACACATGCCTCTGTTAATTTGTTCCCTTGTTCTGTGCGCATAATAGCTTTTTCTTGTACCAGGAAACAGTCTATGTGAGGAAATTTGGAAGATAGCAGCCTGGCCAATCTACTGGAAGAGATCTAAATTTGTTCCCATTCCCCTTAAAGTCAATCCCACAGAATGTGGAAAATATTGAACAGTAGCACATGCAAGCAAAATGCTACTCAAGATCATTTAATGACATCTAGAACAGGACAAAGAAAAAGAACTGCCAGAAATTCAAGCTGGATTCAGTAGAGGTTGAGGCATCAACAGATCCTAGCTGAGAGCAGAGAATAAATAACAGAAGAATGTCTATTTGTACCTTAACTGACTATGCAAAGGCATTTAACCGCGTGGATCATAACATTAATGACTAACATTAAAATGAAAGAGTCCCAGAACAGAATTGTTGTTGTTGTTGTTATGAGTCGTCGAGTCATTTGCGACTCATAGCGACCCTATGTACAACAGCCCTAAACCGTGCTCTATCCCGTGCCAATCTCATTGCCTCTGACACACCCATCCTGATTACCCCAGTCACTGAATCAATCCACCTCATAGAGGGTCTTCCCCTCCTGCGCTGTCCCTCTACTCTACCCAGC